AGACAGGCAATGTTCTAACTGGTATTCCGCAGATCAGCGATGGCTGCTAGGCGGTTAGACAATTGTGTGCGATTGTCATTGCAACGATCATGGGGGACATTGTCCCCATTGAAGTTGGTAGACCAACCTGAAGCTGAACAACGAAAATGCTAAGTTAGCTTACTTCGATCACAGTTGATGATTCAACAAAAACTAATAGGATTCCAAGTGTGGCGTTGTTACGACGTTAATGAGTGTCCATTCGTCTCCACACCAATAGGCGACTTTGCTGAAGCGTAGTTATTATATGAATACATACGTTTCTATGACCTTTACATAAGGCCATACATGGAGACAATGGAGCGATAGCTGATCAACAAAGTCGCCTATTGGTGTGGAGACGAATGGACACTCATTAACGTCGTAACAACGCCACACTTGGAATCCTATTAGTTTTTGTTGAATCATCAACTGTGATCGAAGTAAGCTAACTTAGCATTTTCGTTGTTCAGCTTCAGGTTGGTCTACCAACTTCAATGGGGACAATTCTGTCATTTGTCCTTTGGACTTTACTTGCTCTTCTATCCCAAACGGCTCGGAATGTGTGCAACAGGACACAGGTTCCTCGGCACTCGTGACGGCAACGTTATTTACCGTGATTATTCGGTTTTCCGCACTCTTCTTCCTCATTGCACGAGTGTTAACGGCAGTCATCTATCTTTTAAATGGGAAGATAAAAGCCATCTACACCATTTTACACGTATGTTAGTGTATTGTACCAAGCTTTTAGCGTGGTGCATTTTCGAAATCGCGCGACGTACTTTCAAGTTAGCGAGGCCAAGAACGCTGATTTGGCGTCCTTGACACTCTCATTGGTCATGGGACATAAACCAATGGGACATCGGTTAGAAGCGGCCAGCATAAGCGACAGACAGTCCAATGAAAGTGGTCGAGCATCACCTTCTGTTCTGCCTTGTTGCCCATCTGAAGTGAACCTCAATGATTGGTCTCCAACCTGAAACCGACCAATAGGCAAATTGTGCTGCCTGTCAAAGGATGAGATCCTAGCTACCACATTATCCAAAGCTTAAGACGTAACCAGTGCGGACAGACATACTAACCAGCACATGAAGCGGTCTATACTTAGTGATCGCTAGCGGCTACCTGGTGGTGGCTTATTCAGCGGTCTAACCATGGTGGCATAGACAGGCAATGTTCTAACTGGTATTCCGCAGATCAGCAATGGCTGCTAGGCGGTTAGACAATTGTGTGCGATTGTCATTGCAACGATCATGGGGGACATTGTTCCCATTGAAGTTGGTAGACCAACCTGAAGCTGAACAACGAAAATGCTAAGTTAGCTTACTTCGATCACAGTTGATGATTCAACAAAAACTAATAGGATTCCAAGTGTGGCGTTGACACGACGTTAGTGAGTATTCATTCGTCTCCACACCCATAGGCGAATTTTTTAATCAGTTATCGCTTCAGTGTCTCCATGTATGGCCTTATGTAAAGGTCATAGAGACGTATGTATTCATAGGATAATTAGGCTTCACCTCCATATGGCCGCCCATGTTGGCGTAGCTAGGCAATCATCTAACTGGTATTCCGTAGTTCAGCAATGGCTACAAGGTGGTTATAAACTTTTGTGCGATTGTCATTGCAACGATCATGGGGGACACTGTTCCCATTGAAGTTGGTAGATCAACTTGAAACTGAACAACGAAAATGCTAAGTTAGCTTACTTCGATCACAGTTGATGATTCAACAAAAATAATAGGATTCCAAGTGTGGCGTTGTCACGAGGTTAATGAGTGTCCATTCGTCTCCACACCAATAGGCGACTTTGCTGAAGCGTAATTATTATATGAATACATACGTTTCTATGACCTTTACATAAGGCCATACATGGAGACAATGGAGCGATAGCTGATCAACAAAGTCGCCTATTGGTGTGGAGACGAATGGACACTCATTAACGTCGTGACAACGCCACACTTGGAATCCTATTAGTTTTTGTTGAATCATCAACTGTGATCGAAGTAAGCTAACTTAGCATTTTCGTTGTTCAGCTTCAGGTTGGTCTACCAACTTCAATGGGGACAATGTCCCCCATGATCGTTGCAATGACAATCGCACACAATTGTCTAACCGCCTAGCAGCCATTGCTGATCTGCGGAATACCAGTTAGAACATTGCCTGTCTATGCCACCATGGTTAGACCGCTGAATAAGCCACCACCAGGTAGCCGCTAGCGATCACTAAGTATAGACCGCTTCATGTGCTGGTTAGTATGTCTGTCCGCACTGGTTACGTCTTAAGGTTTGGATAATGTGGTAGCTAGCATCTCATCCTTTGACAGGCAGCACAATTTGCCTATTGGTCGGTTTCAGGTTGGAGACCAATCATTGAGGTTTACTTCAGATGGGCATCAAGGCAGAACAGAAGGTGGTGCTCGACCACTTTCATGGGACTGTCTGTCGCTTATGCTGGCCGCTTCTAACCGATGTCCCATTGGTTTATGTCCCATGACCAATGAGAGTGTCAAGGACGCCAAATCAGCGCTCTTGGCCTCGCTAACTTGAAAGTACGTCGCGCGATTTCGAAAATGCACCACGCTAAAAGCTTGGTACAATACACTAACATGCGTGTAAAATGGTATACTATATGCCATAGCCAAGCGTGAATTTTGGTGTAACAGGTCGTTAAGGTCCAGTGATTCACCTATTCCAGTCAACAAACAGGCCACTGTTTCAGATGCAACCAATCTTACAAACCAACCAGTTGTAAGAGTGCTCAGTTGTCCACATTCCGCCAAGGGTAAATTGTCCTTCAGTAACCGACCGCTCAGTGCACAGTTATGCCTGAGGTCAATTCCGTGGCGTGCCGCGTCACGTGATACCGCAAGTTCCAACAGGCGCACACGTAAAAATCCGGCCAAACGAAGAGATTTGCGTGCGTTCGATAGAACGTGATTCACAATGCGGCGTGAGCGTTTGGTCAACCAAGGCAGTGTACGAAGACGTAATTGTTTCAAGCCGTCTTATGTAGCTACCGACAGGGTTGGTTTAGGTCTCCTGAAGTAGACCTAGCAATAAGCTTCCGATAACTCCAAAAACTTTGTAGAAAAGTGGTACACTCGTAGGCGAACGACAACGCAGAAACAGCCAGAATTGAAAACCGGCGTTAGACGTTGATCCGTTAATAGTAGCCTAGAGAAAGTTTACGCAATGGGTAGGCCTGATCGAGCCCGATTGAATGAGTGTACCCAGGCCGATGTGCGAAAAAATTTGAATCAGAAAACTTGAAAAGTCAGGAGCAACGAAAAAATTCCGACCAGCACTCACTAAAAACACCGAAACAACTATCATATGGTCAGCTATTGGGAAGCGGCATGCAGGGAAAACAAATTGACGTTACGAGGACACGATCAAATTGAGCCTCATGTTCTAAGCTTGATTGCAGGTCATGGGAATCGAAGGCAGTTGATCGCCATGCATTGCGCGATCTGATCACCAAGGCGGTTGCCGAGGTGCGGGAGAAAGACCTCATGCATGCAGAGAAGAAGCGGCAAGTGCGGAAGTGGCAAGCACCGATGGGTTGTACTCCGACATCGAGTGCATGGTGATGCAGCATATGCGATCGCGATTGCCTGAGTCAGGCTGATCAAGTGAGCCATGAGGGAGAACACTCGGGACCACCACCGAAGCGACGAGTCCTGCAGAGAACGTAGGCAGAACCAGCGCAGCGTTTGTAGGTACGCTGCATTCGATTTACTAACCATGTGATTGAATGCTAAGTCTATTTATTTCAGGTGGTGGGTTTTCAATTTTGTCCCAATGTTTTTCTTTCTCATAACAATGTCTATCCGTGCACGCTTCTACAAACTTGCACACGTCGCTTAAGCCAATTGTAGTTAATTTCGATAACATTTTCGTGTTTGTGGCATTTCCGTAAAATATACTTTCTGACCTCGTGCACTTAGCTAGGATTTGTTTGTAAACAACATATTACATATGCTATTTAATTAAGGTTTATGTCACCGTTTCCTTATGCATTACTCGAGTTATTTTCTTTGTTATCTTTCACTCAAGTGATTAGCTATTGATTGATATCCCCGGTGTGGCTGCGCTTGATGTGCATGTTGTCAAGGTGCCTACCTGTCTAGTACCCACTACCTCGTCCATACTGGCCCTAGGAGACAGTTGGTCGTTGCCTGAGGGGACGGGGTGCACGGTCCTTGCGGCCGTGTTAGGATCAAAGAGTGGTTCCATCCAGTCGGTGTGGAGCGGACTACGGTTCAGCCACCGCCTTGTGTGCGACTGATTCCCCAAATAGAGCGTGTTTGTGTTTGTCTGTGAAGGAACGTGGGCCGGCTCCGTTGATGAAACGTGGCTCCCATCTACATGTCTCCCGATCTTATTCCTTCGGATTTACGCTGGATATGGGGTGTGTGGTTGGAGCTGTGGGTGGTGTAGCGAAAGCCACCCATGGTTTCACTGTAGGCGCAGGCGTCCTGTGGCTGGTCATAGTGACAAATCCGAAACCGGATGCCGCCGACCTTATAATATATATATATATATATATATATATCATCTCGTCGGTGTAAAGGAAGAATTGGCGAGACTTTAGTGTCAATTGTGCCGAGATTGCTGCCAGCACTCGCGTGGGATACCGTCGGTCGGTCGGTGTGGCATGAAGCATATGGAAAAATCTCATTTTCGTGATATATGGAAGGAGCATTCTATCAAACTAGCTACATAGCGTATCGGCGCTGTTGTTGTTGTTGTTTTTGGCCCCAGAGAGATCGAGCACACATTTGGACCGCAAAATCTGCTGCTAGATACGATGTCAGCGTTACTACAGATATAACCCGCAATTTTTGTGAAATACGATTTCCAATCGCGTTTCCTATATGCGTCGAGACAGTCTGTGTCTCTTAGACATGAACTGATGTGAGCACAAGGAATAAAGATAACGCAATGTTCGGTTATATCATCTGGGAAATAAGATACCACTGGGAAGTTGGAAAGCTCTTTATTGGGTGATGGAACGGAATAATCAAAGATACATGTCATCGAACCCCGGAGGCAGTGCATGATCTGGGTCAGGCCCTCGTGTGTGCGGTGGATTTCCGAAACGGAGCCTGTCTGGCACAATCCCGGGCCCGAATGGATCAAATCTGGCACCCGGAGGAACAGAGCCTGGAGGCAACACATCTGGTCCACCTAAAAACGAGCCACCGGATCCGAAGGGAGGACCAGCGATTGGACGCCTGGGATCCAAGATCATCCCGCCTCGAGTCCCTGCCGATCCAAGGGGGTCTAGATCACTTCTGCCATAGTCAGGAAATGGGAAATTTGATGACCGTCCGCGATTGTTGTCGTAAGCCGCTGGAGGAAAACGCTGTGGCTACATAAAGATAAATGGACAAATGTATTAGTGCAGAATAGCACAAACGTACATAATCGACAACCGTAACATTAGCAATTCGTATCGGAGCTCACTAATGGTAATGGGACCTCATGTAAAATCTAAATGCCGCAGTAAAATATTCAGGAGCAAACCACTTACACTTTGTGATGATGACGCCACGTCGGTGTGACAGTTATCTTACGATTACAACTGCCATGGTTCTTAAGCAACCTTACACTGTAGAGAGCCCAACACCTTACACACTGTAACGCTTTGTGTCCTAACGGTACTTATAAGTACCGCTTTGTTTAAATTGTAATACAGCTTCAGAGCAAGCGTCATTTCAGTCGGTACTCACGAAGCTACGTGGCAATAGCTTGTCAACAATTAAGTCCACGCCAGAACTCCAATAGTTTGCTCTACAGTGTGTGCAGTAAACTTTTGTGATTCATGTCGAGCTACAGATAAACTAATTCAGAACTCAAAGGAGTTAAGTAGTCAGTTCGGTAAATACTCCAAACTGGTGCGAGTTACGAACCACGCTTTGTAGGAAAATTCTTGAGCCAGACATACGGTGTATCATGTAGACCGCGGCGGCGGCGTTCAGCTCAGTCGTCTGACTCCATTTCTTGCTGGCAGATCAAAGGTAATTTTCCTAGGCCGTCAAAATGGCTCAAGTGGAATATATACAGTGCTTTCGTCGATAGACAGTGGGTCGATGTACGTACCACATGCCCAAAACCGACGCAATTTAGTCAACCTGATTTGGTGTTCCAGGCAGCCAAGTATTATTGGCTTGTGAATAAGCTACTCAACCAGGTATGACTACTGATCATAGATTCCAAAGAAACTGTCTTCTTGCAGCAGCAAATCGCGGTCCTACTGTCGCAGAATTTGAACAGCATTCATTAGGGGGCCCGTGCGTAAGGCATTTGAAGATTCACACATGGCAATACAAGAACAAGATCACGAACAGATCACACGCTTCCGCCGCTGTTAGCCGAGCCGTAAAGGTAGCTAACACGAATGGTTATCTTTATCTCCTCATTGTCAAACTTAAAGGAGTAAAAATCCTGTCAAATGACTCGAAGTCGATCCCTCTGTAGGTTTGCACAATTATATGTGGAAAAACATATTGGTGTGCACGACAGAAGTCAGTAAAATACGTTCAGTTCATAATCACTAAGCAATGATAATCACTGTGTTTACCAGGATGTGTGGTGGCTGTCTGATGGAGTCTAGCAGCGATGAATCGTCTCAAAAACACAATAAATTCCCATACTACTCGCTAATTACTGCCCATCAAGTCACAGCTGCAATGCGTACACAATTCCGGTTCGGATGGACCAAGACAGACTTAACGTCTGAGCAACTCTTCCCTGAAAGCACAATTCCGACTAGTACAGCCGGACTGTCATGGCCATAGCGGATTAAAGTAAACTCATACGAACGAACTATGATCGACCTTGAACGGCTCGGTCGTTAGTGGCATAGCGTGTGACGGAAACATACGTGGCAATGAAGGTAGTTGACTGGCTTTCGGCATTTAGTCTCTGACCAGGCTGGATGGTGTTCACCCAAGCTTACGGACATGCGGCGCCTCGTCGTACGACCAATGCAACCTGCTCCACAGGAACAGCAGAAACAGTAAATGTAGATCGATTTTGTGTGTACTAGATTTTATCATTATGATGCATTTTAACTACGGGAAAAGTGCACCTGAGGGCGTGAAAAGAAAAACAAACCGAGAGTTCAGCAGTTATCGCACCTTTGCACGGTAAAGGAGAAAAATAGGGTTTCTCTCTGCTGTGAAAGTTACTGGAGCATTCTTCATTTCCTTCATGTTGGCGTGGATGAAACTATCTGGGTAGCCATTTTCCCTCAGTATCGAGCGTATGCGCAACAGTTCTTCTGAGAATGAGTCGTTCGAGAAATTCATATTGCGTTCAGCTCACTACATTGAGGATCAGGTTCCGTTTTGATCATAGTGGAATGAAGCTGTGGAAATCTGTATATTGCCCATTTCAAATACGTTTCCTACACACATTATGTATGGCACCACTTTCTAGTCGCCTCATTACCATGCAAGTTGAACTGTTTTTCCTTCAATCGTAAAGGTTTATAAAAATTTAAAGAGACGCCTCCCGCCTCGTGGTGTTACATTACGCTGCTCCCTTTCTCGCGAAGCCGCTCGTATAGATGTCTATAACGAATGCACAAGGATGTCGTAATATCCACGCTTCTTTTTGAAGTCGCTGAGGAGAGATAGGCTACCTGCTAATCCGAAAAATATACGACACTACACTTAGTCCAAAAGCGAGGCTTTCCTCTATCGCTGTACACAACGGAAGGTCAAGCTCGGGTGTGTAGAACATGTCTTGAGTGAGCTAAATTTTGTTTGTCGTGTGAAATTCTACAACTTTCTTTGTGAGCTGCAAGTTAAAAGGCGGGTGACGGCCAAGCAGCAAATTTTGAACTCCATTACTACTAAATTTTAAACTGAGCGGTCCCCCTTGAACCCAGAGAGGTACGTGATAAAATTAGCAGATGTCCAGCTCAGACGTCTGCAACTTGAAGTTTTAGCCCTTGGTTTTAACTTTTCGGTATCACCAAATAAATGCGGTCGTATAGGATTTGAAGCACAGTTTGAACACCTGTACGAACAGCTCTCTAGCCTGACGCCAGTGACAGCAGATGCGAACAGCTAGCTTAAAGCCAAGACAGTGGATCTAGCCAAACAAGTTTACATTACGGACGCAAAAAAGTCTAGAATAGTTTCAAAAGACCATTTTGCTTCCTTGATGGAGTTAAGACAAAATGATGATGTATTGATACTAAGGTCCGACAAAGGTTCTGGAGTTGTCGTAATGAGCAAAGAGGACTACTTGCAGAAGATGCAATTCGTGCTCATGAATAAGGATTGATTCGTTGATAACCAAACAGGCAGTGAGAAAATGGAAAAACTTGTAAAGACTGTAACCCGCGAATTGATCTATGCTAAACCCATGATGCAGCTGCTGCCACGTGGTTCAAAACTTCCTCGGATATATGGACTACCGAAGGCACACAAAGAAGGGATTCCAATGCGTCCAATGCTTTCAGTGGTTGGAGCATCATATCAGAAGTTGGCGCGATGGTTAGCCCGACTAATTGAGCCTATCCGACGAGAGCTAGCAGTGTATAATCTGAAAGATTCCTTTGAGTTCGTTGATAAGATTACGAATTTAAATGTGGCAAACAAACACATGGTGTCCTTCGACGTCTGTTCAGTATTTACAAATGTATCCCTGGAGACGTCAGACAGCATAAGCAGACACGCGAATAAAGTGGGGATCCCGGCACATCGATTAAAAACATTACTTCGCATATGCACGAAAGATGTTCAGTTTTGCTTCGATGGAAAATTTACCGACAAGTTGAGGGCATGGCGATGGGTAGTCCACTTGAGACTAGTTAGCCGATATCTTCATAGCCCAAATGGAGAACACAAAATTGCGTCAGCCCGTTAGATTGATGACATATTGGTGGTTGTCAGTGACGCTCAACAAGCGGAGAGCATGCTAGACGCGTTCAATAGTTGTCACCCAGAGATCAAATTCACTATAGAAAACAAATCATCAGACAAATTCCATTACTTGAATATAGACCTAGAGAGGAGATCAGATGACTCACTCGTTAGGTCCATTTACCATAAACCGAGTTGGACAGGGCAGTACTTAAATTTCAACAGCTATTGTCCCTTGAGCTACAAACGTTCGTTGGTTCGTATTGCTTTTGTTCGTGAGAAGCAATTTAGAAAGAACTAAAAAGCGTTAATTCCACCGTATGCGATAATGGTTGTCATGCTAAGTTTATGGCGAAGTATGGGACAGAAACAAGGAGAAAAGAAAAACCGGTTGACGTTCCTAAGGTCTTTACTACATGATTATACAGAATGATAGAAGGTTGTGCCATCGCTTACGCCAGTCCATAAACAGGTCCAACCCTGCAGCTGAGCTCGTGCTGCTGCACAAAACCAGAAATTTGCTGCACAAATCCAGCCTAAACAGGCCTCAATCTCAAATTACCGCCTCCTGTATCTACCAGTTTAACTATACATGTGATAACTTGCACGTACCATGGACACGTGTAATCTAGCATTGACTAGTGAGAAACTGCCTGCCAGCACAACTGCTAGGCACTTGTTCGACTGTACAATGTGCTAAAACCCCAGAGAAGCATTCATTGTGCTTAGCAGGCAAAGTAATACTAACCTGTTAAGGTTCGCAGAGGCTGCCGCCATCCGGCATCTAAAGCCTAACCTATGTAAGCAACTGGAACTTGTGGCTAGTCTTACTCTGTCATGGTAAGGTGATTTTTCCCACAGATGTACTGCCAGTTTAAAGTTTTCCCTATTAGTCCGAATGCGGCCGAATGAGAATACACGAAATACACTGAATTCAGGATAGTCCGCCAGCTGAAATGTTTTTTCATCTTGCACTTTTAAAATTTAAATGAATCATTTTATTCCACTTTAGCGCTTCGTGCGCCCGATGTTGTGTCCACCAATTCGGTCTCTCCACATGTAGTTGTACAAGCCTGAGGGGGGGGGGGAGAATATACCGCAATGACTTGTAAACGTCAAGGAGTTATCAGGTGTATGCCAAAGGATAGGAGTCGAGTGTGCCGATTCGCGATTACTGAACAAGACCATATAGTTCAGATTATCCAGATCAACTAACACCCTGGGCGGTAGCTCAGTATCTACATTACTGGATTACACAAGGGAACTCTCGATATTGGAGTTCGTGAGAAATTTGAAGTGAGATGTGAAAATGAGACCATTCCCCATAGATCCTGAGGTAAATTGAGGTGTTGGAATACAGCGAACGCGAAACGTTCATTATTTTATAAGAACACGTCACCGGTCAGGTAAGCCGAACAACAAGACGAAGTGGTCGACAAAGCTGTATGCTTCTAAAACTGAAGTACACACACGAAGTAAGTTCGAAGCATGTGTGACACGAATAATAGCGCATTTTGGTTTTTCTGTGCAAGAGGTTTTGTGGTTACCCTTAGGAAAGTACTTTGGAAATATGAGAGTACATACAAGCATGGCGAAACAGTCCGTGGGTACTTTCAAATGAAAGGCCTTTGTGACCAAGGAAAATGATATATAAGTAGAAGCTCATCGCATTTAGACTCCGTCACATGCCCGGAAAAGCACTGTATGGCCGTTTCACTTTTTCGACAATGCACATCAAACGCCCGTTTCACCTGTGAACTAGAGGATAGCAATTGTCTTCCGTTTTTGGATGTGTTGTTGACCAGACGAGAAGACGGCTCCATAAAGCGTTCTGTTTACAGGACATAGACAGGATTGTATGAACACTTCAACAGCTTCACCCCTATCCAATACAAGCGGTGCTTAGTCAAGACGCTGTTTCATCGAGCCCGCGGAATATGCACTGACGACCGTTTGGAGTCGGAATTTCTGTTCATCACACAGACGCTAGGGGCCAACGGATATCCAGAGGCGTTTATTCGATTTCACAGTCAAATGAAGGAAAATAGGCCGAGGGTACTTACTGTGCCCAAACTGTCTACCTTCAATTACCTTTCAAAGGTAATATCGTGGCCGCCCAACTTGAAAAGCGTTTACATCGATTCGCCGGACATTCAATGCCGCCAAATTCTGCCCCATTTGTGAGACCAGGAAGTTGCCTATGCCTCCAGTGAAGACTACTCAACCGATCTCCGCCACAACCCATTGTATTTGATGTTACTCGTGAGTAGCAGGATTTGTAGACGTAATAGGTGGTGCTACATCCCAGTTTGCTTGCAAATTATATAGTTCAGCCAACGTAACCCATGGATCAGTGGCTTAAGCTGCTGGCTAGTTGACATCTGCCTCTAGCGGTCATAGGTTCGATCCCCAGTAGGGGATCAAGGGATTGCACACCAATGATGAGTCCCAATAGGGCGAAACGCGCGGTTGGTGTTTTTCTGGACTAGGCTGTGCTATGTAGCTTGTGAACTCATGGGATGAAGACCTAAAAAGATTACCAATTCGTTTGTAACTGCGGAAGTAGCTACATTGGCAGAACAGATCGATTCTTGGGTAAGCGCATTGGAGAACATATCCCAAAACGGATTGCTAAGCTATCGACACAACTAGCAGCCGAACGAGAAAAGGTATCTAAGCTGCCGGCATCATCTATCACCAGACATCTAACCGATCAACGTTTACAATTATCTATCGAAATGAAAACCCCAAAGTTTTGAGGTTTGCCAAGCTGGGGCACTTAACCGGCGTCGCCCTATCCTTTGTGTACAAAAACAATTAACAGTCTCCCTAAATCTTCCTTGGGGCTCATGACCCCAAGGTCAAGCTCGTCGATCTGTTATTCTTGCGTCTACATAATTTCACTTTGTGACCAGTTTCGACCTTCGAGTTTTCTGTCACATGATTCATATTTATGTTGTTAGTTTGCAGTGAACAGACAACATGAAATGGTTCCATCTTGCAATACCAATCTTCTCTTCGTCTTATTTAGAATGATAAAGGGAACTCAATGCTTTAAATTTTCGGGAATCGTCAGTAGTGCACATCCCATCTGACCCCTGTGGGGATAGAACTCGCAATCCGACCGTTGCCAGTCCGTGAGTGGGATTACTGGGCTATGGAGAACAACCATGACCACCGTGACTGCATTGCTGACGATTCCCGAAAGGATGACACGGCCGTATAGTGCTTTTCTTGGCATGTGACGACTGTTTGGTGGACTCTAGAATTGAATAACTTTTGGTTATGCCATTCAAACCCCCCCCCCCAACCTCTCCATTGTAAAACCATATATCTAAAACTGCGCATAGGCGGAAATCGGACGGCATATGGGCGCAGATATGAAACGTTCGGTTTCATATCACTGCACAGAAGGTGAAACAAGATAGCACAAAGCAACCGTATTCGGTGTCCGGCAGTAATTCAGTTGAGGACACTATCGAATCGTTTACGACGAGCAATGAAGGTCGCTTCAGAAAAAGCACAAAAATTATTCGGGTCAAAGAACAACTCAGAATCGATTGATCGATGGACCACCATCTACTCTGGACTGTGGGTGGTGTTAGGAGAGAGGCATACCGTATGCAAACAGCCAAATCTACAGTCCGAGAGATTAATCCAAGCTGAGACAGTGACGTAGAATGGCTCCACTGACATGTGGCTGGCTTGCCAGCTGGGTGGTTCGGCGGCAGTGTTCTAGGATGTAATGGGCTTTCGCCTGGCAAGTGTTCTCCCTATAAAAAGTCACATATGTCCGTTTAACAACACTGTGACGTGGCGGACGTGACTCGCCACTAAATAAAGTCACTGTCCCTTGCTTCATCCTGGCGAAGCATTGTATTCCAGCAAGTTAATGCTGTAATTTTGGGGAGCATTGGGCCCCTGTTTGACAAAGGAACAAATGAAAGGTGTATGAACTGAGCAATCAGTCACCGGCACCCAATGGGCGCGATTCCCTGAATTCGCTCCGCTGCCTTGCGGGCAGGCTATTCAGCCAAAAGCTCGGGGTTGTGTCCCCTAAGTCAACACCCTACTTCGGCTTGGGCAACCGGGTAGTATCTCGCCGCCTGACGAAACCATGGACTTTGCTGTTGTGTTGTGTTCTCTTTTACTATTCCTGTACCTTGTTTTGAGTTCCGTAGTTTCCGATGGCTCAATGTCTATTCATAGACTGCTGCTATACATATATATATATATATATATATATATATATATATATATATATATATATATATATCCCATTGGCATGTATGTACTATTGTAAGCCTGCTTAAGAATTATCGAGAACATATGTTCGCTGACATTGTGTTTTAGCACGGATACATTCAGCAGCAGTTTAAAGGATCGGACCAAGAAAACCAGGATACTAAAAGTACATATTACTTCATTGGGAAATGTTGCGGAATCTGGTTTCTCCCTCTTCCTTTCGGGTTCGGTGACGCGGTTTAGTGGTGGTGTAGGGAGTACCGGTTTCCATAGATTCTCCTCAATCGCATCGAGTAGCTCTTCAACTCGTGGATAGACGTTGTGAATGTCTGTAGGCCCAGAGGTTATCTCGCTACTCAGACGCACATGCTCGAGGCCGGATAGCTCGGTATGGCCAAACTTGTCCGTCGTAGTATCGGTTAGATTGACGAATATTTTAGAATCGGTTTCGGCGACAGACAATTGTAGCTGGAGGAAGATGGATATAATGCAGAACGCCGTTAGTCTGTAGTAAAGTAGAGTTAGAATTCATGCGAACGGTTGCGATGAAGAACACAATAACAATCAGTAAAAATGTAGTTGAGGAACGTGGCCTAGTTAAGAGAATATTTTACCCTCGTTTGCAGGACCAGGTTATTTGACGGTGCTTTGTCACAAGCGTTGATCGTGCGGTTCTGTAGTAATGTGGTGAAAGTATCGACCGAAAAACTTATTATGGATTCTTAGCATAACTATCACCATCCATAGACAAGAAACAAAGACGTAATTGGTCCTAACATGTCAACATTACCTATGCTTCCGATATAACTGTATCTTGTGATTTGGTCGAGGTAAAGCCAGTGTATCGATCGGAAGGACATGACGCAAACCGTACAAAGCAGATATTATGAACGCAAAAACAGGCACAAACTGTTTGCAAGACAAACCCTGAATTACCAGTCACCCTAGCATAATATGACTCTCTTTTACGGCAGCAAGCTGTTAGCTCTCCGGAACGATGTCTATCTGTTACTGGGAACTCAGCGGGCGTGCCACCGTTTGTTTTCCTTTTCTTGTCTTTTGTATTGCGGCACAATAGCTGAGGTGTTTTCCACCTCCAGCTAACGTGTAATGATGATGATGACCAGTCACCCTAGCTGATTAAAAATACTACTAGCGCTATATTCGATCTGGATGCTAAAGGATATGCGCCTTTTGTCATTTAGGCCTTCAGGTACAGTAGAGAAGATACACAATGGAATGCAGTTAGACTGCGTGGTCCACGCATCCAATGGATCATAGTTGCAAGGGGAAGAGCAGACATCTCAATGAGGGATGATACGCGACAAAGGACTGAAAATAAAGGATCTATTGATAGCCCGTTGGGGGACTCAGCGACTACGGTAATAGGTGGCATCTCGCACCGATAACAAAGCAAATAATGGTGGACATAGTCTAGTCGGTTGAAAGCTGAAATGACGGAGCGTCTTCCTTGTAATCCATAGGTCCTTGGTTCGAATCTGCGTACGTGTGGGCGATCTCACAGAGTCGTTAACACAAAAGCACCAGCCGTATGCCAGTACGCAGTACCGACGCTTTGCTACTGCGCAACCACTACCAGCCGCACGTGGGCTAAGGATTCTACGAGAGTCGCCCTGTTCCTGCACTGGCTCGAATCCGCGACCTCAGGATTACAAGACAGGCTCAGGATCTTCGAGGCTACGGGCCAGCTTGAAAAATATGGAACACTTTACGATTTTGCGTGTCACCCTTGCCGGCTCGTAGTCTAAAGGTAACGAGCTTGTCTTGTAATCTGACGGCGCGGGTTCGAGCCTGCGTAAGGGGACCAGATGACCCTTGTGGTATCCTTAGCCTACGTACGACCGATGGTGGTGGTTGCGCGACAGTGAAGCGTCGGTACTGCGTACTGTTGATGCCTTTCTTCCTTTGGGTGTCATCCTTGCGCACGACTGGTGGTGATCAGATGGTAACGAAGTGTCTGTGCGGCGCACTGGCGTACTGCTGACACCGTAATATGCTTCCCGTCAAGAAACAGCTATTACAGACCTTGTGTTAATAAAAGTTTTAAGCATCCATAGAGAAATCGGTACGGTAAATTGACAGAAGTGACGTAAAATGAGATGAACTTCAGGAATTTCATCTCAGGTATAGAGTTTCTGAGAGATCGATTAGAGAAATGGTTACCTGACTAGTCACAGAGGAAAGTGTCTCTACTCCAGGACGAGGCACAAGAGTATACGATAATCGTATTGGATCCTCATCTAATGACGGTGATCCAAGGACTGCTAGATACTGAGTTTCTCCTCCTCCTGAACTTGGTCTGGCTCCTCGAGCAAGTAACTGAGCATGAACAAATAGACTGATAAGCTGAGCGCGTCGGGTAGCATCACGGCCGTGAACGTGCAAAACGTATTCTAGAATAGAGGTTTCGACGGGTCCCAACCTCCGAGATGAACGCGAACGCGAATCCGGACCGCTTTTGTTGTGCGCCGAGTCGGGAGGATTAGCGCTCATTCTGCCAAACCCTGAAAAGAAAAAAAACATCGATAAAGGATAGCACGAAACGGCAACGGAATGAAGTAATCCAAGAAAGAATGTATAACTGAGGGATGAATGGCGAGACTTCGACATGCTCAAACTGGTCAGGATAAAATAGCATAATCAGTTAACTGCACAAAATTCATGTTAAAACTTAGATATTACGCACGCACCGGGACAAGATAACAACAACAGCAGCAGCAGCAGAGGTAGATCAGTCATTTGAACTGATGCTTCGATGCCACACAATCACAGTGACCTGTTGGATGAAGACGAACAATAGGAGGAGGATAGCAAACTGATTAACATTCCAAAGAATCGGGGTCCAGGCGTCTGAATGTTGTCAACGACATATGAGCACATACAGCCGGCTATAGTGTAAAGAAAAGGCGGCATTAGCGAAACAACGTCCTTGCGGCCTTCATTTTGCCCTCGTCATAATTAGCTATAATCTTGAAGAAAACACTAAACACAAACAGGTAATCCGACTAGAAAACGATAATGTCAGCAACAATAATGCCGGCTGCGGGTCGGCTTGCACCACCGTGTACTCAACGAGGATGTACGTAGATCAGTGTTAGACGAAGATTATCAGCCTAGTTCCTCAGAACAACAGAGAGCACTGATTAAGTTGAGTTGGCTTGGGCACGTACTACGTATGTCCGGTCACGGCTTATCGAAGAGGGCCTCGTTTTGTCTGCTAGATGTAGGGTGGCGCAAGGCACGAAGTGGATAAATGTTGACTTGTCAGCGGGAAATGAAAAAGGGCATCAGCAGTAACGCAATGCTGACGCTTGATTGCCTCGTAACCATAACAGTCACGCGAGGATAAAGGTATGGAGAGGATTGCCCAATATCCTATGCAGGCTATAACCTGCGAACTCCGGTTACAGGGCAGGCTTGTGATCCTTAAGGTCACGGGCCGGTGAAAGCCGCAAGCATGCTGTTTCCTCGATGCCGCCTCAATTCCTAGGACACTGCGCGCATGTTGCGTCCAAAAGAAATTCAAATGTGTTAAGGGCTACGTCCAGTTGGCTTACGGATGCAAACCGGATCCTTAGGGAGCAATTCAACTGCAGTAGGAATGCAATCAATGGGGAAAAGGTATAGAGAGATTATTCAGGGTTGACTACGCCACCCCAACATCGTTACACAACTACATACAATCGTCCGCATAAGCAAGATCAACTACATTTTCATCAGGTAGTATCTCAAAACCTGCATCGTAAGATTCCGCTAGGAAACACTCCATGATGGAGTCTACGAGGAAAATGAGGAAATTAGACAACCTTGACGAACGCCACTAGTTGTCAGAAACATATCCGATAAATCACCGTAGATCCTGACGCGACCTGTCGTGTTCGAGCATAGAGCAGGTCACATCACGTCACGTTCCAAGGATGATACAAACTTTCGCAGAACGGGCGTCTTGATTCTTTTAACGGTAGACGTAACAAGGTTTTCGGGCTGAATGGCAAAAATATCAGTCTTCAACGCAAATTCAAATGGAAGAGGAATAAAAGGCCAATCCCATGGTCGTTCTATCTTGAGTGTATCGTTAGTCCAGGAAAGAGTTCAGCTGTATGATTAGTCTCATTTATGGGAACCGAAGCAGCACACACAGATCGGACGTGATCAAGCAATTAAAACCCACGCGTTATTCACTAGCAGTACCCGTTGCGCCGGACACGTGCGATAAGAAAATAAAGGGCAAATTTGCGGGCTAGAATATCACTGGAAAGCAAGGATGTAATTCGAAGTAAAGTTTAGTATCGAGTAATCCAGGAAGAAGGGATCCGGATGACAAGCAGATAAGAAACTGGGAAATAAAAGAGATCAGGGCTTGAAGATTGATGTTTAAATTCTAATAGCGTAGGGGACAATACAGTATTCGCACGTAATGCGTTCCCAGAGTCTATCACTCAATGTGACAAACAAGCAATGGCCCGAGCCCGATCAGATAGGAGTTAAAGCAACTTCATCGGGTTTCTGTGAAGAGTTGGTAAATGGGCGGGATGAAAGAGACAAGATAGATCTGAGGCGATCTCTGCGATAAGTGAAAAGAAAATCGCCACGAAGACGCCGAATGTGTTAGCAGAACATCCTCAACTGGAACAACCTGTCATAGGTGTAGCAACCTACAAAGTATTTTATTTCCAACTCTCCTACACTTTACTACCATTCTGTCAGCACTTCCGGTAGTTCATTCACATACCATGAAAGCATCATTAGTCGACTGTCCGATTTCCGTCCACTTTCGGATTGAAATCGATGTGTGCAAAAAAACAATTGACACCATTAATAGCGACACAGAATGCTGCATGAACGGTCGGAAGTATGTAGCAATGAGTAGATGGCTTCGAATATGACTAAGTTTTACGTTGTTCTGAGTGTCCGATCTTCCTACGTAATTGGGGTAAAATCGGCGCGTGGAAAACGAAGGCTTTAAAGTCGGAGATGCAAAAAACTTGCCCAGCATTGTTTCATTACTATTCCGTTCGGATAGCCGCTGCACAATACACCTTTATTAATCTAAAAATGGTGTTTTAGGGCACTGTAAAAGAGTTCCGTAAGTTTCTTCAATGTCAAACGCCGCCTGAACAATTAGTAGGAGGCAACAATCAGTAGAAATGGGGATTGGGAATAGATTGGAAACAGCAAGGACATTTTGCAAGATAAGAGTAAGTTCTTTTGTGAAACGGTACAGAAGGATAAAACCGCGTAGGATGAGTTTAAAATCACTCAAGTCTGGAAGGAGCTGAAGCGTATGAACCAAATAGATAGCGTGCTACTGGAACAGCTAACTCCACTGGGTTCCCATCCTCCACGTCTTTATGGACTACCTGAAGTACATAAACCACAAGTCCCTCTGGGTCCGATA